GGTTGTAAAACTGAAACTGAAACATAATAAGGTCCCCGATGTTCTACTGATGAGTACTTGTCTGAAATACAAGTGAAGTCAACAATCATGATGACATTCATCTGACCGCTCTTATAACATTCATTGGAACAGAGGCAATAGTGGTAAAACATTAAATCTCGCGATCATCGGTGAGAAGGAACGAGTAACTGAACTATCGCAAAGTGTACTGAAATTCTAGCAGATAAACGGAAGTTACGTCGATAGCACAAGTTATCGGGATTGTTGAAATTCAAAAGTCACGACAGTTTCAGTTTGTACAATCGTTAAACATGCATTTTCATACAGCGGTTTCGGTTGGCTGTCCATATGAATAAAACAGCAGAATGAAGATTGGAATGTTGAGAGCAGAGTTAAAGAGAGGACAGAGAATTGATGTAGACTCAGGTTGCATGACAGTGACTTAACGGAAACCGGATCATCGGAAACACCAAACACAAGCCAAGTAAATTCCAAGATCGGACGATTTCTGAAAGCTCTCGAATGAGGTATACAATAGAAACTCCTCGTCCTAGGACCCATGACTCGTAAATCGAGCGAGCCCGGATAACTATGGGATCTAGCCTAAGCGCTTTCGCATGTGGTAATGAAAAAAGTCAAAGTAAATTTAGTTACAGACAACAAACACACGTTGCTGCTGCAAAACCTCAAGTCTGGGATCGGAAAATGAAATCGAAAAACACCGACACCCTTTCTTCTGATTGCGGTATGTTGGGAGGGCATAAATAAGACTGGTTGACTAACCCGAACTGGACGAATTGATAATCAATTGTTATTTCTTGGCCTGACTTTATATCCTCGAGAGAGAAGAAGCCCACTCGAATTCGACCGTCGACACTCCACTGAAATTAAATCGATAGATTATGGCAGTATAACCCAGAAGCAATACCTTTTGTGTGGCACAATTTGGTTCACAGGAGTGATTCACAAATCTGGCCCAATTCCCCTTTGTTCCCGCATCGATAAACCGATCAGACTCCAGTGCCATGAAATAGTGGTGCGCATGTCCCAACTTTTCATACCGGCGAACACGTCTTCGAAATTCCGCAAAGTTAATCACTTCTCCAACATATTCAATGATGAACGAGTTTCTGAATTTGAAGATGAAAATAATCAGAAACAATAATAAAATTATGCAATTGAGAACCCCGGGAAAAAAAGCTTGAGAATACTAGAGGTAGCTGATAACACTTCAATATGTGTACTGTTGTTGGACACACTCAAGTAAACTAAACCGTATGGCAAACTCATGGGGCACGGCGATCAGATGTGTATTTAGAAAAATAAACTGCACGCATCCACTCAATCCTATGATGATTTTCGACAGAAGGGTATGTCGATGAAGAAATACCAGCAGCTCCTAATGCTTCTGGTCGTGTTATTTCCAATGGCTGACAATTAGTTCAGCGCAATTCATCCTCCACCAGAACGTCTTCACCATTTACAATGAGCCAGCGAAGTAAAATGTTCACCGTAACATGGGAGTACATTTACCAACCGAAGGTGAATCATTACCACTTCGGTAGAAAAACCCTGAGCTATATGGCTGCTTCTATTTTTGAGGACCATTGGGATAGGATAAAACTACGTCCTTCAAAGAGACAAACACGCGCTTGTTCTGCATGCCTAAAGTTTACAGGTGCCAAATTTTGACGACCTGGATGCGAGAATGTTGACCTTCATCATTGTTGAGATCGATGAGGTTCATGCTAGGTTAGTGGGACTAACAGCAACTTTTCTATCAATAGGGAGTATCGCTTTGTATCAAATCCTTATGTGAGGAACATAGTCACAAGGATCTTCTGTTCCCTTTACGGAAACCGGAAAACTAAGTCCTGAAACTTGGAGCGATAAACTACGTAAAACGTGGTAGGTGGATAATTACCACTCTCAACCGCGAGGACACTGTGCATAAGAATACGAGGAAGTAATTCTCCGTTGGCGGGAAAGTACAAACCTGTATAGAATTTGCCAAGGGAGAAGCTGATATTCAACGCACTGAAAATAAGTCAGAATATTCTGTCCCAACCACCAATATCGGCGATCTTTATAGATACTGGTAAAATTTCGAGGTCTTGACTTTTGTTATGATTTTCAACCTGACTACGCGACGTTACCTTAACCTGATGAAACACTATGAGTTCCAACCGCCAAGAGAATGAAGACAAACAGCTGGACACTAGGTGGAACATGATTACCGCCAACACATCGGTCAAAGAGCGCCTAATTTGTGAGAGCGAAATTCGGAAATCAATATAATGTGAAAACTCACCGTGGAATGTCTTCCGTTGCTCTCAAACCCCAGCCTTTGCCTGGTCCCGAATAAAATGGCTCAGTAGGTGCGTAGAACCTCTCTTTGAATTGACGGTTGCTGCAGAATCTACCAGCGGGACACAGTGATCCACATTCAACATTGAGAGCGCGATTGATGCAACCGGGACCGCAGGAAAAAAGGCCCATTTCCAGTTCTTCTGCCGTTGGTGGAGAGCAGTCACAAACCCATCTTCGCATTTCACTGTGAGTTACGCTAGTGGTGACACCTGCAGAGCCCAAAAGGACTGCTGGGGGCAAACCGTTTTCCCTCGAAGTGGCAAAAGAGGTGTCTGTCACGTCCACAGAACTATAATCGTTATCCATGATATGCACATACTTCGGCTTAGGTGCATCCACGAAAGCCTCGAAAACTTTTTCCGTGGGAATATTGGTACTGATGAATGGGGAAGTAGAAATATCAATAAGCAAATACAAAAGCTTCACCTTGTGCACACAGGTCAATGGAGACCAAATAACTAAACATTTCGGATTTTGAAGTTCCTGGTAATAAGCAAATGCACCGGCAAACCGCTTCCGGAAGATAAACCAAGTTCCACGCTTGGCACTACAGAATGAAGGCAAGACTTGCACACCTTAACAGGCTACGGCACTCCTTATCAGTGACCTGTAACAAACGTTTTCTCCCATGAACCCGCAGAAAGCTGCTCGTGATACGCGTATCTTATTGTAGACCAATGGTAATTCGTGATGGGACGTTGGCTAAAAAACAATTTCTAACTAACCAAGAGGAGACATAGGAACCACATGCACTCGTACACTTGATTATGGCGGTGGTCGACGGCTTGATTGGTGCATTGGACACCTTGAATGTTTGATTGCATCCAGAGTATGATTGCGGTTTTCATACACCGCCCAGCCGCCACGCAGGTCAGGATTTGGCCAGCCAAATGTTTCCGTCGTAAATTACTCAAGAAAATACACTTGATATGGTCCAGACAACCTGATCCACGATTTTTTGGTACAAAGATTGTAGTATCGTGATTTTTCTTTGGAGGGAGGCTCAGACGCCTGTGAAGTATAGCAATAAATAATATACAGATTTGTACGCAGACTATTTGTTGTGGCTCGGTGGAATGCAGTGAAGTGAACGTCACCTAACGCCGGTGTCTCAAAAGCGTGCTCGAGATAATGGAAATGAGGTAAATTACAACCGACTTCATTGTAAATACCGCCTCCAAAAGCAAAATTAGCCGCAAAAGAAATATAAAAACATAACGCTTACCGGTTCGTTGTCATGGTTTCTAGCATGTCTTCAGCTGATTGTTCGCCGTCTCAGTACAGAAAAAGAAGTACGTTTGCATGAGTATCGGTTTTGCATTCAACGCTGGAAGCCTAGTTACACAATATTGTTGAACCTAAGCAATACTACGAATCGATGGATAGCAAGTATTACGCTGCTTCGAAATTTGGGATTAAACGAAAACAGCTCATCCCCGCTCAGTGAACATGCGCAGGATGAACAATATGAATCGGCTACACTTTACAATTCATAAGGGATTCGATTCCGTTGTAAAACAGAAATTACATGAAGAATCTAGTCGTGTAATGAAGGAAACGTGAGATGACAAGCTAGGGAGCAAAGTGCAGCTGTTTCTGTCTTGCTGGGTTTCATCTGCAATTGGAATCTACTCATCCAGCTGAGGGTTGAATCCGGAACCGCACAGAAAGAAAGTAAGCACCCAAATTACTTGACTACTAAGCAGCTGATCAGACTTTCATTTTGGCACAACTCATCTTGGTCAACTTATTGCTGGCATCCTAGTTCGCTCATTGTAACAATAACCCCTGGACTAGTGACCTAAATAAAGGAACTGTATACAGGTGCAGTCAACAGATGAATGTGAGAACGAGGCATGAAGAAATGCACAAAGCGATTAGGTAGAATAGGTGTTTTTCGTCTTTCAGGTTGGGGTCCAAAATACTCTGCAACTGGCTGGTTGAAGATACTGAAGGATATAGCAGCGAACCGACAGCAGCGGCGTTCTTGTTGTCATTTCTTATCAGGTCAGAATGCTCGAAAAGGTACATATGCATAAATAGGATCGTGTACTCTGTGTTGACCAGAGGTTCACCTTCTATTCCACCCTCCGATTAGGTTCAATCCCTCTCCATCTTGTACTTTATCACTTAATTTGTGTACATCTTGAGCTTGGCAGCGATCCGCGAAGTTTGCTTATCTGTATTTCGTTGTACAATGATGTATGCAGGTGCAACAGAGACCAAAAATAGTGGTTCTAGAAAGCCAAATTCGAAATATCCATTGTATTACTGCAAAAGAAACTATCAGTAATTAAACACTGAAAATCACCAGCATAGGTTGTTGGGTAGATTGAACCCAGAAGTAGTATGATTGGTATTTAGACCACAGCATTTTAAAAGATAATTATTATGAGGCTTCGGAAATGCTGAGAATATCTGGAGCGATATAGAAAGCAACTGCTTTGCGTTTTCATTTCATCGGTGGGAATACTTCACATGATTCAGTATTAATTTCGAATGGAAGAATTGGTTTGCTTATCATTATCATCGCCTCACGACCTTTCATTGGTATTAAGCTCCATCGATTGGCGGCTGCCCCAGAACGGTGAGTGAAAAGCAGGCTGGTTTTGAACCTGGTCAAGGCCGCACCATCCACATCGTGCTATTCCAAATTTCATAACATACGCACTTCGACCCAGCCAAGGGTGTCGTACTCTGACACTCTCTTTGAAGGGTGTCAGAGTTTTTCTTTTTTGTCGCTCGTTGTATAAAAAGAACTGAAGCCGCGTTCGAGACTAAACCACACATACACAACCTGGTGGTAGGCAGCTTTGCTGTTGTCCCGTTTAATACATCTAACCTATCGGGGCCTTATGTCGTTCATCAGCGTAGGTACCGGCTTCAGGTTCCAAACCTTAGTTTGCATTCTCTTTGTAATCCATTTCTGATCAGTTGTGAACATTAAGCAAAACTGTACCAAATAGCCATACACATGTTAGCCTTTTTCTAGTATTCAGAACATGTTGGAAATGTGCTAAATAGCGATTACGTAGAGCTACCGCAGAACAAATAAACCTTCAGTTTCCGACGGTGAAGAACATAGTAGTGAATTTCACAAGGGTGGCTATGAGACCAACGACAGTGTAAATATAAACCAATAAATGTAGTTTTATGCATTGGTAGTGTTTCAATGGATACGAAAGATCACATGATTTGACCCCCTCATATTTCGCCTTCAGTAGTCTTTTGGTAACCCACTTGATCGCCGAATGCGGTGAACATTGGGGAGAAAGGAAAACTAACAGTGCTACGGAGACGGAAGAATATAATCTGGGGGACTCACATGCTGAAAAAAAATCAATGAATGAACAAGCATGGTGATAAGATAGCTGCTGACCGCTTCAATCCCACTAGGATAGCGTGATTCATTCACGCAAACCACAGGGTGTATCTTACCGATTCTCATAACGGAAAAGTAGTCCCTCGTGATTGTTTAACTTGTCACTTAAACTGTCGCTAAACCAAGATATAGAAAAATAAGCCAACATGTAGATCCCAGTTTGTATCATCAGTGGACTTTCGTACCCCAAAACCTAGGGCAATTAGTTCAAGGTCTTCTTATAAGCGTACTACGACACACTCAATGTTCCTTGATCGATAAATGATAGTCTCAACAAACGTAGCGCGCCAAGGAAGTCTATTTGAGGAAAAACGTAACGGCTCGCATTCCTTGTGCCCCCCTCCATTTTCGGTGTTATAGCAACTGAACCATGACTTATCCCAAGTCCGATATATATATATATATATATATATATATATATATATATTGCGTTCATCTTGCTCCCTGACTGGGTAGGTAATAGAGAAAGGAGATAAACTTTGCCATTCGGGTGGCTACACCTCACCGTGTGGACGCATCAATTATGAAGCTCCGGCAAACATAAAAAGGTTCGGCTGGTGTTTTTCAACTAGACACCCAAGGCATCGTTGCGACATCCACCTGCCTGTGAACGGTGGAGCGTACGCTGAAGCAGTTCAACCGGTGCTGCTACATAGTGGAGAGACTTGGTTGTTACGAAAAGGGGGCAAGTGCATTCACTACATCTCAGCAACTGGACATTACTTATCGGGCTGTTTCTCGGAACTAGCGCAGTGGGGCGCAGAGACCAGTTTTCGAACAGTAATAATGTCTATATCTTACATGCAGCAGCAACACCGCAATAAAAAATAAGGGTAGGAACGGGTCAGTCTATACTCGAACCTTCACGGACAAGCAAATGTCGCGACCAAAACACATTCTGTTTTACAAACGCTGAACGAGTCATTAGTTTTGTTATAGTACACCAAACGTTGATTGCATTAGACGCGCCCAAAATTCATTCGAGCTTTCGGCTAAGAAATACTAAGCTGCTCTGGTAGGAAATTTTTCTGTTTTCTGCTTTATGAAACTACAAAATCCAGATGTTTCACACCTGGAAAAGACAAAACATTTCTTTAACGGCAACACTCACTCTCATACGGAAAATCGCAGGTCACATACAAATGAGTTTGACAATAACTAAACGACGATCGCTGGGGATTAACCTAACCAGATGAGAAGAATAAGGAGAGAAAACTGATAAACACTCGGTGATCCCCGGTAAAACGTCGGAATCAGCAGTAATAAATTTGGAGATCATACCGCACACGGGTGGAATTCACGAGGTTGAATGTTCATTTTGAATTACAGAATGTATAAAAACGCCTGCTGAAAGTCTCTTCATCAACACTTGAGGAATTTCGTACATTAATGCTACCTCAACCAGTTTCGATTCACACACCTGTCCTGCAAACCTGCAACTTATCGTTTTCTTTCACTTTGAACAACCAGTAACTATACCTTCTGCGTTGGTAATGATTTTGTCGCTTGAAAACCAAAAGCCTCATTTTGGTCGGAGGTGAGCGACTTGGGTGGTTGACTGGTTATTCTTTTCTTGCACCTCGAAATGCTCCTTTACAACCGAACCTCCAAAGTATCCTTTGTTGAAGAAGCCTTATTGTCTCCGTTGGGTGGTTTCCCACCAAAGTGAGAGGATCAAAAGCTAACATCCTGGGCTATAAACGAGTGGGCAAACTACCGATAATTCACTTAGAATAGACATACGAATCACATTCCTCATACCTGGTTGTTACAGTGATAGCCAGTTCCACCGGGAATCGCGATGAATTGGGCACCTCAGGTGGTTGACCCCGTTTAAAGAGTGTATGATCCAATGAACTGAACACCGGACCCCAATGGACTGTGATTTTCACAAACTGCACCGATGCCTTGCGGACCAGGCTTTCATTGGCCAAAGGCCCTGGTTGTGAATGCCATCTAAAATTATTATTCTTTGGCCTGAGCAACCCGGTAATATCCAGCCCACTGGTAAATCACGGACGTTCTTTGTTAGATTCTTGTACCATGATTTGCCTGGCACAACCCGAACTCAGACACGTATGATATATCCATATACATAAAGAAACAATGGAAAAAATAATAGGGTGTCGTGATGATTAAAATCTGGAATGATGAAATCAGATGTTAGGAATGTGAAGAAATACGAATAGTCGATGGATATCTGGGACTCGCAAACTCAAGGTCTCACAACCACAAGCAGGAGTGAACGAACGGTAGAATACACAACCTTTCAACTTCAGTGAAAAGTCGCGTCTACGCTACACAGGTGCTTCCGTTCTGCGTAATCTGCTCGAGACTTGGAAATGCGTGCTATTATCTCCTACGGCCATTGGTCACGCCAGTTCCGTATAATTCCTGACAATCAAGCTTCAAGCCCGGAGTAGACGACACCCAGTCTTGCAGCATCATTTTGCAACTTGAATGTGCAAAGCTCATACCAAAGGACGTAATAGTAGTTATTAGTATACCAATAGTAACGATAGAAAAGGAATAGTAAAGCGACAGTCCTATGGTGATCTGTGAACTGCATAGATCACTAAAAGGGATACCTTACGAAGAACGTAACTAAGACAGGGGAGTGGACGAAATCGTAAACTAAACCTAACAATAGTACTCGAGATTAGAAACATAGGAAAAAGTAGAATTAGAATCACCACACAGGGAAAAGGAAACCAACTTTTCTGAATGCATACAGGGCAAGGATCGATAGGTAAGTGGGTTATCTCCCATAGAACCAAACAGGAACAGTGAACGTTTCAAGTATTGAGGCGAACATGCATGGAAGCAGCACTGATTCCGAAAAGTGGCCATTTCATCACGAAATCATAAAACCTTTGAACCATAATCTAATCAGATAATTTCTATTCAATGGTATTTTTCTCTAGCGTAACCTCGCGCGGCTAGAAGAACGCTGTTTATGTTTCAGTATGAGCGGGAGGATACAAGCTATTCACAGTAACAGCTTTTCACACGTGAGATTGTACATAATAGCTGCGTTGTTTCTATTATGCCGTGTGATGCACACCAGAAGCGATAAAATCCTAGCTACGGGGGGCAGTGGTTAACTTATGGTAACAAGAGATTTCGGCTTAGGAGTTGGGGTGGCGAGACATAAGGCTCAATGCACGTAGTAACACGACTCAGCTAGTCAGCAATCCTCATTACCTGACGACCCGTACCATAAATGATTACTACGAGACATTATTAGATTTTGAAACAGTCCTGAACACCTAATATTTGATCAGTTTTCATCCAGTTTGTACAACCATTAAACATGCACTTTTGTGTGCCAATTTTGGTTGCTGTATTTTGGCTGCCCATTTGGATGAATCATTGGGAGAAAAACCGGAAACTTGAAAGTAGTCGAATAGAAAATGGAGATTGTTGTAAGGAAATTGAGATACACAAACGCCATTGTTGACGACACAGCTATATCACTCAGTGTCCCTAACCAGTGATTACATCAATGGAGCCTAACGCGACTCCTATTACCGAGTCTCCTGCTTTCATACCCTCGTGTCAGGTATCATTTCGACCACCTTTGGCTATTTTCCCAACCACTTGTCTCGGCAAACAACGCGTGCTGTGGCAACTTATTTGTTGACATGCGTAACAAATGGCCCTAGTTAATTAATCAGCCGAAAACTTGATGCACAGCACTCAACGAGACCCAAGCATCAAACAAAAGAAAGCTGAAAGATATCGAAGGGGACACGTAAATAAGGGCACGACTAGTGAAAATAAACTCACCGGAACCAGTTAGGTTGTATTGGTGTCAAACAGCCTTCCGAATGCATTGCAGGATCCTTCGGGCGCTTAGCTTTGCGCTCACGCAAGTCGTACTTTGGCTCATCACGTGCAAGCTCACCAGAATGTTGAACAGGTCCAGAAGACAGTTTGGTATCAGTGATACATTCGGACTGAGGTAAAGCTATGGGGCTGGAACCCAAAGCTACAGTAGAGGTAAGTTCCTTAACATCCAAAACGGTCTCATTGTTGTGAGCAGCTCCACTCAGCGGACTTCCTGGAGCGGATTCCGAGGGTGTGCAAAGAACTTGGAGACACGGATCGATGTCGAGATAGCGGTCGTTAGCGGAGCTTGTTGTGGTTTTGGCACCAGGTAGTTCGGAGTCGGATGAGATTTCCATAGAATCGGACTCACTCGGTGCGGACAGGATAACTCCAGATCCATGCTCATCAGGAGTAACCGGTAGCGAACCAATCTCAGAACTTGAGCCTGCAGGTAAAAGTAACGGCAGCTGTCTACATGAACACGAAACCCATGTGACTCTGTTGAGGCCCGCAGGAAATCGTGCACTGAATAAAACACCATAGAGTTAAACGGTCACAGTAATCAGTCACTTTCAGGGCCCTCGTTACATGAGTCCACACGCGCCTATCGCATTCACTGTCACGCTCACGAAGCCTAAGCTGTTTCGGGCCTATATATTCGACAGCTGATTACCATATCAACGGCGACCACAAGTATACATTTTTACTAGTTCGGCTTGACACTGCCCTAAGAAACATTAACCAACCGATGGAAACCGCGAACGATTTATTGCACACACAAGCTGAAATTTCCGTACAAAACATTTTTGAGAAACAAATGGAGTTTATTGCAAAAATGTACAAGCTTCCAAAATACAGCTGACAAATACAATCAACTTGTGTTGACACCATAGCACTGGGATGCGAAATGTACAGGGATAGTGATGAAAACTTGCAGGCAATAAGGAAGGTTCAACTCCCGACTATTATGCTCGCAAAACAAAATGGCATCAACCAGTTTGAGTATGAACAGTCACCTATAAAGAGCGCAGTGATCGAACAAGTGGCTAAGCAATCAAAATGGGCTGTCAATGAGCAGCTAGGCCTTACCTATGCCTGCATTCTTTGATTGCAGAGATGCGCTCAGCAACTCAGATTCGCGAGTGGACAGCGATTTGGTATTTCTCGTCCCATTTTCATCTTTGGTAGCGCCTTTATGACAAACATCCTTGGATTCCACGTGGTTCGGTGATGTGCCACTTCGAATACTCGAGGAACTTGTATTCGATTGACTATCTTCATCAGAAGACTCTTTACGAGTCTTGGTATTTGTGGTGCGCTTCGTAGGCACTGAATGCTTGGAACGTTTCGGGGACACTGGAGACACGGATGCGCTAGAATCCGAATCTGTACTAGAACCTTGGGGTTTGGGTTTACTTTGTCGAACTTCACTTGTCTTCGAGATATCCTTGATGGGCCGAGGCACTGTTTTGGAACTCTCTCGCTTCTGGACAGTTTTCTTTGAAATATGATCAGACTGTGATGAGCGAGGTTCAGCATCTTTCGCTCGATGATTATCGGAACGTCGGCCAGTACGTGAAGGACTGTGTTTATCTAAACGACGGTCTTTTGATTTTGGCGAATCACGAGAGCGTTTGTCTTTCTCTTTGCCGTGGTCCTCAACATGACGATCACGTTTGGTATCTGAATCCTTCTTTTGACGATCCCTCGGTGGAGTTCCGTTTGAACGGGAACGACGACGTGACTTCTTGTCATCTTTGGGCGTTCTCGAACGGGCGCGCCTGCTTCCTCCATCTTTGTCATGCTTCGTATCACGAGAAGTTATTCTGTCGTTCTCCGAAAGTCTCTCACGTCTTCTTTCACCCTCTCGCCTATTTCTATCACGATCTCTCAAATAAGCTCGGTCCTTAGAACGTCGGTCTTCCGTACTTTTGCGCGAACGCGAACGCCTTTGAAAACGCCGGCCGGAGTATCTAGGCGAACCCTCGGAAGAGCTGGTAGAATGACGTCGATGACCACGGTAGCGCTGATCCGAGCGATGCCGTGAACGCGATCGCCTTCGGGATCGGGATCGTGATCGCGAACTGGAGCGGGAACGAGAGTGAGATCGCTTTCGACTATCCCTAGCTGCTTGTTCTATAGTCTGATGCGACTGAGCAGCGAGTGCCGGATTGGCGATCAAAGGCGTTGCTATCATTTGTGCAGACCTCAACTTCTGAGGGTTCACATATTGCATATTCGTCATGTTCATTTTGGGTTGTCGCAAAACTATTGTCGGATCCGGAATTATCGCTGTCACTGGAGTTGCGACCAAAGTCTGAACAGGTTGCACTGACAAACTCATCAGATTTGGTATGGTTGTTACCGGAAGTGGTAAAATCGGATTGACAGAGGTAAGCGTGGGCAGGTGCATTGGCGCAGAAATCCCCAGTAAGGAGTTAGAGCTGCTCTCTGGTAGAGGTAAAGAAAAACTATGGGACGAAGGTTCGGGAACCGAGTTCGCATGGGAACCAACGGGTGGTTGCAGCAGAGAGAAATTAGACTCTCTAGAAACCGGTGTCTCTTTGGGTTCCGAAGAATTGCCTATCTGAGGATTGTTACCCAAAGAAGACGGGACATTACTTAGGGACTGAACGGTTTTCGTTGTCTCTGTAACTGCAGGTGCCGATGTCGTCTCGGTTTCTTTGGATGGTAGAAATAACTCGGTCTTAGTTTCAGTGGCCGGAAGCTTTGTTTTTGATGGTAGAACACCTACAGGAAGTTGTGATGGTTTCGACCTTTTCATCAACGCCTGAAGTTTGGGCATGGGACGTGGATCCTCAGTCTTGGAGTCTTTCGAGGATTCAAAGATCCCGGATGCTTCGCCCGGCGTTTCTGTCCCAGAAAGTGGCTTCGAGGATACCTTCAGTGAAAATTTTAATGGACCGGATGAGGCGTCCTGATGAGTCTCCTGTCCCTCAACTGGTTGCTGTTGAACTGAACTGTTTTCTAACGGTTTTACTTGCGGCAATGAGACCGGAACAGGTGCCTTCAAGTCCATCGGCGGTAGAGGAATATTTGAGGCATCCATATCCATGGGGGGTAGTGGAATATCACAAACGCTAGGAGTCTTCATTTCGCATTTCTTGACATTCACTGGAGGTCCTAATGGAATAAATTATCAAAGTTCATAGACCTCACCTGGCAATGGTATTGCTGACAGATCCAAATCGAGCTCTATGTGCTTGGGCACTTCATCGATAGGAGGATCTGGTTCACTACAGAGATATTACAAGTACTAATTTTGCATACTCTGTTGGGGATGCCGGATCGTACTCCATCTGTTGAGGGATACAATGGATAAATGCACACCAAAGGCAATATTAGCATCCAATGAGAACAGAATCCTAGGGGTTTGAGCCACGCGCTGCCAGGTGCGTTCAAGAAGCTTAAACAAACAAACAGAATAAACTCCTATACACCGTTGAATATCGTGGTAAAAGCCTTGTAATGGAACTTTTCTTTTCAGATAAATTGCCAGAGAGCTGAAATGAAGCTCAATGGTGAAGAAAACACTTAAAATAAATATGTCCTATATCCCAATTTCAGATCAGGTCACTTCAATTTGCACGGGACAAAGATTCAGTTCAGTTCAGTTCAGTTCAGTTCTCACAGGACGAGTTGTGGCTCTTGCCAATCGAGCGTCCAGATTTTTGTGTTGTAGACGAGTTCACTTGGCTTCCAACACTTTGATATGCAATTTTTCTGAAAGGCAAAAATATGTGGTGCAGTAACAAATCCCTTGTGGTTAGGTTATAGATGGTACTAAACGCTTACCTCAGGGAAGATCGCTATCCAACACTCATCAAGTGACTTTTTAAAAGAAATCACACCACTGCAGCTTACCACTGACAGCGGCAACCGGTTCCACAACGGAATTACCCTGTTAGTGAAAAACGTTGCTCTCAGTTGTAGCCTAGAGTGGCTTCTCTGCAAGTAATGTTCACACGTGCCTCTATGCGGGACCTAGGAGAACAGGTCATAAAACTAAGACCTCACATACCCTTGACTATCTTAAATATTTCGATTAGGTCTCCTGTCATCCGCCTCCGTGTGAGGGAGAACAGATTCAAATCTCTGAGCCGCTGTTCATAGCTCTTCTCCCGTTGCCCAGCTATCATTCTCGTGGCTAGACGTTGAACCTATAGTGTCTTACTTTTCTATCCACTTTATCTGACATGATTGTACAGCTTGCTTTAATATGCACAACACCTACGACACAATACAAAATTCTGTTCGTAAATACACACGTGTTCTCCGAG